TCTCCCTAGAGTATAATTTGTAGTTTCTAACTTTCTAGACCCACGTTCGATGCTCAATTGAACGATAATTAAAACAGTTTCCCCAAGTTTCCGGACTCTACTCATTCATACCTTGAGGTCCGACTCCGCGCTCCGAGCCGGCGGCAAGGTTTCCCCTTCCGGATCCGGACTCGTTCCCGCGGCCTCTCCCCTTTCCCTTTTTACCTCCCCGAACTCCCTTTCCTGGAAGCTTCCACTCCCATCCTAGGCCGTGAGGCCTACCCGCATCGTTAGCGTCCTTCCTTCGAACTCTCAGGCTGGTTTTTCCATGCACCGCGCCTTGCTTCCTTCCACCTGGCCACCTCATCTCGCCACGTACCAATGTACAGACCTTGTGCGCACTAATGAAGCGATCCCAGGTCCTATTGCCCGTTATTTCCCCGGTCGTTAGCCACCGTTAACGTGAGCGCGTTAAGGCGTTAAGCGGCCGGTTGTATCCATGGGTGCGTAAAGGCGAAGAAGAGGGGGGGTTGAGGAAAGGAAGGCAGAGGAAGGCAGGAAGGGACTGGGATCTGAGCCTTCATCTCACCTAATTAAAGTGAAATGAATGAAAGAAGGAGGCCCGTCAGGGGGCAGAACGAACATCCCTCAGGCGACTTACAGCACGCCATGATGTGTCTGTTGTCGTTGTCGACTTGGGTATTTTTTTGGTGAGTGTTGACGCGACGCGTCTTTTGTCTTTCTTGTGTGTAGTTGTCCGGTGCTTATCGTTTTCGCAAGTTGCCGCGTTCACACCTCCAAGAATACCCATGAACACCGCAGTGGCATTTTTGTGCACTACATTGTCTCGTAAACGCGGTTTTCGGGACGATTGACCGTAGCGCTCCCGATGAAGGTTCCCCAAAACCTTCAGTCTTATCGTTTCCCTGTTCCTACAGTATGGGTTGTCTACACCCATTCGAAGATTATGTCGCGCCGTGAAACCGAATTACGAGTCAATCCGACCCGAATTCCCAACGTACCATCGTTCGCCGTCCGCCTTGGTCCCGAACTCCCATGTCCAACATGCTGACGGCCAATTCCAGACTCACGGATAACATAACTCGAACTTTAAAGGACGGCCTGTGAACGTTGGACCGGCATACGACGTAAATATGGATCGACAAAGTTCGAACAGTGAAAATATTTCCAGATGGGCCTGCGATTATCGATAATACGATCGCTTGCTGTGGGCCATTCCCTTTTCCCTGGTCCACAACCAAAGGTGCTGGGCGCTGCGAACGTGGGTCGTATCGGATCTGGAACTTGGGGTCTGAAGGAACAAACAGAAGAAGGTGCGAGCCTATGACGGGGCTGTTGGGAGGACGCCGTGAGGTGAGCCGTATGTACTCGATTTTCTGGCGTGTTCTATTAAATTTCACTGAGGCGAGGACGCAGTACGCTTAGTATGCCGCCGGATACCCCGAGAAGAGGGCCCACGAAGGCAGGAGATGAAAGGGGCGTCCATGAGGTTGTAATTTTCGCGGCTTTTTTCGAGATTGAAGTGCGAACGCTCGCATGTGGTTTGCAGCACGCCGCCGGGATTGTCGACGCGGCGCCCGGCGCCTATTCTAATTGAAACTCAATTTGGAACGTGCGCACGAGTGTCTGACCCGCCTTCGAACCCAAGTCTGCAATCGATTTCTTGTCTGGAAAAAAGCGACCCTTTCGTATTCGTGTAGGCTCAAAAAAAAGAATTCATGTCCAAATTCCCACTCATAATCAGCCTGCCAGCATCACGACCCCACGAGCACGGCCTGTCTATCACTGTCAACCTGAGAAGGGTTCACAACGTTCACCGACGGCAACCCCACGGACGCGCTTCGCAACTTCCTGCGTACACGGCGACGCTTTCTGACACTCTCAACAGCTGAAACCTGATTTATTACTTTCAATTTGATGTGCTTCGCTGTCGGGCGGTCTGATCGTGATTTGCGGGCTGATTAGCATATTGGCTATTACCAGTACCCAGGTACGTGGGCGCTGGAAGACGCCGCGGGGGCGAACAAACGACGCACGTCACTGGCAGTGAGTATTCAATATTCAATATCGATTTCCGCGGTGGCGTCATTGACGTTCGACCCACAGAATGTCGTTGACGGTGACAAAGATGCTGAGAGATCAGCGTCCGAGCGGGAAGGAGAATACTATTTTCATCATGGTGGACGCATGCCCTTCCCGCGCACCTTGCCCGTCACCAGGAGTGCATCGTGGCAAGGCTCGTGGTGCGGGGTATCCCTTCGAAGACTGCGATTGCGTGCTTGCGTTGTCGCGTGCTTGAAATTCTTGCTGATCAAGACGAAAGACGAGGAAGATCACCGTGTCTTTCACCGTTGTTCGACGTTCTTACTGCCTCCTCGATCACCTCGCCTCGTATTATCCGCTCCACAACTGCAGGCACACGAATCGAAATAACAATGGTACATGGGCCTTGCGAGTGACAATGTCAGTCAAGGCGACGATCCACGGCAACCTTTGGTAGCGGCTTCCTCAGGCCTGCTTTGAAACTCCTCAATGAAATCACATCCGGCAAATCAAGTCGGTGAGTCTCCTTTCGTTCACCTTGTGCAAAACGAAGGTGCATAGACTCGGAATTGAGACCGTTCGCATATGTCCATCTTTTCCACCAAATCTCGCAGCGCCAAAATCCGAGTCGGAGCACTTACTCATCGTTTCTCATTTATCATTTCTCGTCTCCCGACCCCCTTTTCCCGTTTTCCGTTTCTCGTCTATCACCATTCCTCGCAATCGTTTACCTCTATTTTCATTCCTTCCAGGTAGAACACCCCGCTCCACCTTTAAGTTCCTATGATAAGATCCTTCCTTCCTTGCGGCTGTCCCCGTTATTCCACGGACAATCGACGCCGAGGGCCCTTTCAATTCTCACAGACGCTCTCCCCTTTTCGTTCGTTTGGTATTAGCGAGTGATTGCAGAATGATTGCCTCCCTGTCCATAATCCAGGTGCCGGGGTAGGTCTGCGGACCCTAATGCTCTGTCCCAAAGACCTCTGATGTCACTCGGGGTGCGTTTGTAGAAGCTTTGTTGCCTACTTTGTTTCCCGCTGTCGTCCTCCCTGTGCGCCCGAACATTGCTCCCAGCGCCTTCCCCGGCCATCAACTCAACGTCAACTTCGTTAAAGCTGACAGAGCTCGGGCTTATGCCCGAGGAACACCCCCGCATTCAAAAATAAAAGGGTATGAGTCCCACAAGGGCTGTTCAATGACACTCTGTGCAACGGTCCCTTTCCTACGTTCATCTCTATGAACCTTACACAATTCCCATGTGTGCGGGTTCGCGGATAGCATTTTGGACTTTGGACTTCATTCTTTGGCGTTGCGGGCGACCCACTTGCTGATCCAGGAAGTCGAAGATGAGCAAGGGCGAGTATTCATTTCCTTTCGTAGTAATTTTGTGACCATGCGTTTTGAGCGTTTGGCGCTGAAAGGAAAGAGTTTCCCATTTGGAAGACGTTAAATGCTTCTTTTTTGCCTTGTCTGGGAAGGGGGTTGGAACTTGTGCCTTCCCTCTGCACGTTGAACGATCGTGCATGATTGCTCAGCACAGCGAACTCTGCGCTTAGACACCTTTGTCATCGTCTGCGCTGCTCAAGAACTTCATGTCGTTACAGCTTCCATGCGGTGTTCTTGGTGGCCGCTCGGTGGTCCTACTATGCTCTATCCAGAGCCTCAAGAAAGTTGCGCATGTAAGTACTACTCAATCTAATCGACTCTCATCTCTTGCACCTCCAGATTATTATTTTTGGGTTATTGGCTATTCAATTAATGAATTTTTCTCTCACAGGTTGGTCAATTCCACAGCAACGGAAGGTACCAAAAGTACAGCTGACCAGCGAAGATCACATACACGCGGACACCCTCAGAACAAAGATAGGTCAGTGGACACTAGGTATCCGCAGACACTCTATGTCAAAAATTTCATGACACTGACAGGCCGTTTCTGACATTCATTTCGCAGATAACGCGAATTCTGAATGCCCCACATCTCGCGTCAAACACCAGACACGGTTCAGGGTCCATGAAATCAGAACTACAGGACCGTCGCTCCCGTACCGTCTGGTCTTCGATTCCGAAGCATTTTTATGAACCCCCGGACCGTGCCTACGTACGTCTCCTTACACAAAACGCATTACTCGAGTGTCTTATAATTAGACTGGGCCCTAGCTCGAGCCCTCGATCCTTGCCACATCCAGGATAGATAAGGCTGAAAGCGCTTTTGCTGACTGATCGTCCTCGAACGGGGGGACGTCGTATACGAGATTTACGGAGCAAGATCTGTCGCAGATGGCTATCTTCGAGAGGCGACGCGATGCGGGGGCTTGGCTTGGAGTAGGTACCAGCGATTCGACACCGCGGTGCGTCTATGGGTCCGACTGACCCACTCGTTCTCCAGCGCTTCTCGAAGTCCACTGCGCCGGGCTAGTGCACTTGGTCGCGCGGAGGCAGAGCGCTCGTGAGCGAATGAGGTTGCTACTATCTAATCTCGGCGTTCATTTCGCGATCAATTCGCGTACAGGCACCTATCTAATCTCTACATCCTGGCAAATTCTCCAACCAATCCTAACACAAGGCTTCTCTTCAAACCTAACCTCACACCCGCCGACATAAAATAGCTCGAATATTTCGTCGCTCTCTGGATCGCTGCATCGGGTGTGCACACCGAGGACCGGGCGAATGTGACGAATACAAGTCCGTATGTTGCTTTTGTGTTCTTTCTGCCTTCGTATAATCGAGGTCGCCGCAGGGTCCTGAAGGGCAGGCAGTTCCCCCCACCACAGGTCTTGCGGTTGTCTCCGGGCGTAGCTGCTGCCCACGTTCGACAAGGCACTGTGGGCAATGAACAGGGGTGTCTTAGGGAATAGAAACCGAGCCATTTAGCAATAGGTAGGAGTTAGTACAAAAGAACTGTCCATGATGCTCTAGTTTGTGGAATAATCTGTCAGTAACAGCGTGAAATTCCATCGTCATAATTTGCTTTCATCGACATGCAGGAAATCCATGATCGCCTCAAGACCTCTGTTTCCACCCAACCTCGCGATTTCGGCCCTTGTCTGACCCTCGAGATTTGTGAGCACTGATAGCGTGTAATCGAAGGATTTCGTTTCAGTTCTCAGGTAATTGATTGTATGTATCTTCAGGGTAGGGGTGGTTGGGCGTTTTTGAAGAACGTCTACGAAGTAAATATCAGGAAATGGACCCATGTAGACGAACAACTGGGAGGGCTCACTGAGGATTTGCCGATTCGACTTATTCGCATGGATACCATGCACGACTGGAAAGGAGAACTTCCCTTCGGAGAGATCTTCAGCGAAGCCCTTGTTGGATGTATACTTGAACGACTGATAGTCAGACTTAGTTGCCACGTATTCACCGCAAAAGGGTAGCTACCTCAGTACTCTGCAAGTTCATGAGGTCGTCGCGGATTTGAAAGAACACGCCGATGAGGTTGACCAGTGGGACGTAGTCTCTTTATATATGTGTTAAGATTTAACAAGATAAAACCTGAAAGAAATGAAGAAACTGACACGTCAATGTTCGTGGTTGAGCAGGCCATCATAAGCTTGATTCCGATGCGCAGCAGACCTCCTGTCTCTATAGGGTCGTAAAGTGGTTTTAGAGGTTGGTCTTAGAGATCTGAAGAAAAACGCACTGTTGTTGACCATGGTGATGTACTCTTCTTCAGATGGACATTGGAGGGAATCACGCCATAGGATTTCGAGTCCTTGTCCTCGATGTAATGATAGAAGCTCCTCTACACAGAGGCGTGATGAGTTTGCGCAGCTGCAAGCAGCCTTCCGCTTAGATTATACCTGTGACGAGCGCGTCAAGAGCCTTGCGCGGTGGCGTGCCAGACTCCGTGTCCCGAAGGGCAAACAGCTCCTGGTAAGCCAGAAAATAGACGTAGTTTGCGGTGTTGATAGTCTGCGGTATCCCATAAATCCGATGAGCGACTCAAAGAGACGTATCAGCAGCACCAAGGGTCCATTAAGCATCACACCCACCTGGCTTCCCTCTGCGCAGCTGCGAATCGTCCTCGATGTCATCTACCCTGTCTTAGAAGCCTCAGACGCCTGGAAATCGACTCGACGCTGGAGTCTTACATCAAACTCGCAGCGTGCAGCATGTTGACAACCTTCGATATGACCTTGAGCTTGTCCGGAGGCACATTCAACCAGAGGTTGAACGCCTCGATGAGCTTCCCGCGTATCTCTTTGCCAGGATTTGAGGTGATGTAGGTGAATGGTTCTAGGATTGCCTGCTCTTCAGTTCAGCAACGCGATGACTGACAAGGACAGGGAGACGTGCCTGTTCATTCTGCGACGACCAGAGAGATCCTTTCGAGAGCACAGCGGTGATGTTATCGTATTTAGACATAGCGACCATGTTACGAACGATTGGCGGTGGCGTCGAGTGGTGTTGAAATGGCGGCAGCTGCGCGCCGGCACGGCAATGTTCCCACAGTCTGCTGCCCCAAGCCCCAAGCTGCCCATCCGGGTCCCGGTTCTCTCACTTTGAGGTTTACTTCAACAAGTTGAAGTCCCGCTCCATACCTCAAACCCTTGGAGACCCATTGCTTGGGATTCAAGCTGCTATGGAGCTGTCATCAGAGACGTACGCCGGTAAGTACCAGACAACCGAATATTCACGGTAAAGTCCCTTGTTTCGTCAATATTATTAAATCGTCTACTAACTGGGAATAAGCTCCCTTCACTTCGATGTATTAGGGACTCGATGGGCCCTTCGAATTGATGAAAACAATCCACCACAAGTAAAACGCCGCGCTGTCGCCGTTCATGGACATGAATTTGTTCCCGGGCATTCACGCCAGTGGCAGAAATGTGGAGAGAAACTGAGGAGATTAACAGGCCTGCCCCAAACTCAAATTTGACGCGTCGCGTCGCATGTTGTTCTCGTCGTTCAAGACTTCCACGAGCATTTGTAACTGGCAAACGATACTTCAATTCCCTCAGGATGTCGTCTCCACCAGCCCTAGACTTTCCTTCATCCGAGATGGGCGACGTAGAAATGGGTGACGGCACGACTGGCGAGCAGTCGATGCCTGAAGCCTGAAGCCCCACCTCCAGTGCCCCTTTACCACTTGCTTCATTCAGGGTACATACATGAAATCAGAACTACAGGACCATCGCTGCCGTACCGTCTGCTCTTCGATTCCGAAGCATTTTTATGAAACCCCGGACCGTGCCTACGTGCGTCTCCTTACACAAAACGTATTACTCGAGTGTCTTATAATTGGACTGGGTGATAGATAAGGCTGAAAGCGGCACTTTGCTGACTGATCGTCCTCGAACGGGGAAACGTCGTATACGAGATTTACGGAGCAAGATCTGTCGCAAATGACTACTTTCGAGAGGCAACGCGATGCGGGGGGCTTGGCTTGGAGTAGGTACCAGCGATTCAACGCCGCGGTGTGTCTCTGGATCCGACTGACCCACTTGTTCTCCAGCGCTTCTCAAAATCCATTGCACTGGACTAGTGCACTTGGTCGCGCGGAGGCAGAGCGCGCCAGTCGCTACTATCTAATCTCGGCGTTCATTTCGCGATCAATTCGCGTACAAGCACCTATACATCCTGGACATTACGTTAGAGCTCTAGGGCTGAACACTCGCTAACGAGCGTTGGCCGCATCGAGCTGGGTGACCCCCTTCCGTAGGGCAAGCACACACACACGACACATGTCTACATGCTGGGAAGAAGAACTTCTCAGACCCACCACGCTCACTTTTGAGAGCTTTGGCACATGCTCGCCGCCGGCTGCCACTGCCAGACTCCAGAGCCTTCGTCTAGGTTCAGTGGCACACGCCCGAGGTTGAGGCAGGCCGCTCAATCATCAATCCAAGGTCAGGGAAGGTTCTTTTCTAGAGGCATCGACTCTGCAGGGCTGGGCGTTCGACTGAACTTGGAAAGGGATGAGCAGAAGGAAAAATAAGAGTTAAGAATTTGCAAGAGCCTAAAGCCTGAGAATCCGAAATCATAAAGAGAGAAATGGGTATGGTGTTCCCAACGGCTAGGGCGTTCCCAGCAGCATTGTGTAGCCAGGAAAGAGTGGCTGTTCAAAAGTCTTCTCCCAATTGGCAAGTATAGTTTGTTCAAGAACTAGGTCATTTCGTAGGCCGAAGACGGGTATCAGATCGTTCCAGGAAAATAATCTTGTCTACATAGGCCTTCTACTAGGAAATTCCCGAGGAACTTGAAGGCAATATGGTGAGCAACCCGTAAATCTGGCGATGCGACTTCCCAGTGAGCTCAAAATACCCTAGGGGCTCCGCTAGACCATTGGCAGGCTTCCTGGCCAGCTGGAGTGCGCTTGAATTAACTCGATGCCCAGCGGCTCATGCGGACACGCCCCAAAGGAGAGGCGCCCGAGGCTGGGCCAAGTGTACGCCACAGGGGTTCCCGGACCGGAGGTGCGTACTGCTCGTGGCTTCTGGGCAGTCTCTTACTTTTTTGACGCAGAGAAAAAGGGTGGAAGATAGGGGAATATAGCCTGGTTTCTAATAGGCTTCAATGTCTATCTAAACTCTGGCGAGAAAACACATGGTTCGGTTTCTCAAGTGTCCAAGTTGGGCAGAGGTACATATTACTCGGTGCCTCGTGTCGCTTTCAAATTCGTCCGTGCGTTATCGTCAATCCTCGAGGATTCATAGATTTCACCACGAAGTCAAATTTCACGCCCAGCGAGTTTGGCGTTCTTCAAGTTCTACCTCATTTATCCAAAGCGTCGGGTCGATCCCTAGAAAATCCCAGATCGTCGTGATTAATCTCGGCTTCAAAGGTGGGATCGTGCCCGAGTAGAACGCTCTCCGCTAGACCTCGAGTACACGGGCGAGGATCGAGAGTGGTAACTGCGTTCGAAACATGCAAGTTCCATGCCGCTCAACATCTACGCCGAACCTCCGTGAATTCCGTCTGTCAAATATCGGAACATCTTCGCGACATATAAACGCTGCTCTTGCTCTGTTCGAAAGCTAGTCTTGTGTCTTCACTTATTTCGTCAATCCAAATGCTCTTTCCTTGCAGCAATTTATGTTGTATGCAGTTCGGTCCGTGGCACTGGCTACTTCCACAAGCTTAAGTCAGATACCCTCGCCAGGGTCACTTCCTTAGTGAATGGGCAGTGTTCAACCGTCCACGACAGCGTCACCTGCCGTGGTGTGCCGTACATTGCAGCACCCCGCATGGAAGTTGGAATGTTCGCAGGAAATTTGCCCAGAGTCAGGGTGCAGTAAAGTAGCGGGAGGACGGTTAGCTACATCCCGCGCGTCATCCGACCCATTCGCACGAAGGAACTTTCGAAATTGCGTTCTGGGATCCCGAGTCGGGGACGCGCTTCCCTGGAATTCTAATCAGTATTCTCCCGTAGGCAGTCACAGCCGCACTTCACGCCGCACAAAACTTAGGGTTTGCATACCATCAGACAAGCTCAAAAATTGTGAGCATTTCTATGCATTCAGCCATCTGTTCAACATTCCCGCTAAATTGCGGTCTGCAGGGATGACGATATATCCTGTTATATTTACATTCTATATCGGCGTTCAGCAGTGAGAATTATATTTTTGGGATCGTCTGTCGCGGAGGATCTGATGCCTTGATAAATTTACGTCGATGTGACTGCGGCCAGAAGAGACTTCTTGAACGTATTAATCCAGTGGGGGTGAAAAGCTTGCTTGGCTGTCATGATCAAGAGGAGTCCAGATGCATACCTCTTTAGTGTCAGACGATGGTAGTATGTTAAAATGAACATGATCTGGGTATGCGCCACCCAATGTTCTGGATGCCACCATGAAATCCCTTTGTGAATCGGTTCGGTTCGGACGTCCGACAGTAGCGAAAGTATAATCGGAGGCCGCCATCTTGCTCACCTTCCTTTATGTTCTGGATATTTTCTGCATGCTAGCAGAGGTGGAACCTTCTTCACACCCTTTGACATCTGAACGCATCGCTCTCGAGATGGCGCCCTAAATTTCCAGCCTTTGAGTCGGAGTCAAAATATTCGTTAAATTGAACAAACAAAATCCTCGTCCGAGTCGTCGCGTCAAATATTGCAAGAAGATCCAAGAGGCACGTTGCCTCACATGGGATGTTTCTGCCTAAATTATCATGAAAGCACATTTAGCATGCTTCCTTCATCCCAAAACTTCAGATCTATTGGTGGAAATAAATGGCTTTCCTAGCATAACGAGGTTAGCCTGTGTGGTGCCTAGAGCTATGCTCGAAGCACAGTGCCTACCTTGGGCCAATACAAAACCGCACTTTTTCTACTTCTATTCCTTGCAGCAACGTCGGTGGTACTTCTAGTCGACTTAATTTTTCTTCCTGTGACGCATGTTTGGCGTTTTAATTAAAATCCATCGAAGCGAGTTTTTGAGCTCCACTTGGTCATGGTGTACAGACCTTACTGGCTAGACTAAGGGTACACGGCAAAACTGTGAGGCACCTGCCAAGTTACCAGCTGAGATATTCCCTCAGGACACTTCTCAGGAGCACTATACAGCCGTCTTGTCTCCGACTAGCCCCGAAGTGACACAGAAATTGATCCTGAGAGCCATTCTGTCGAAGGCGACGCAACAAGTCAACTTGCCTCATTCGGTGAGGCTGATATCTCGCTTTTTTATTCCATGAGTATTCTTACGTTTGAGTCGGGCCTCGAGGCCGAGTGTTCAGAAGGTGTCCCAATTCCGCAGACTTTCCCGAGTCGAAATTTGCCTACGAGTAGAAGCCGAATCTGTGGGTTGTTCCTAGGCCAATACACATTCCAAACAGTCTAGAAACGAGAATTATGGGGCTTTTTCTATTCTTACTGCATTAGTTTATGGATCATCGGCGAGTAGAGCAGCTGCGGTAGGTGTCGGAGAGTGGTTTGGTCCTGGACAAACTACAATTCGCAACCCCAACCACTCTCGGAGATCCAGGATAACTACCGTGCATCTCATGCTCATGATGTATACCAAGCAGTAAGGTAAACCCGGCGGACTTCCAGGTGTCTCGTCTTGATTGTGGAACAGGAGGCTAAGTTGCACTTGCTCCCGCGCGTTATCCCATCAAACGAGAAGATGTACATATCTGTACCTTAAACCGGATCTGATGTGAAAAAATTCCCGCCGAGGGACTCCTTGAATAAGGTTATGAGAAAGTGACAATATGGCTTAGGTAGCTGAGTAACAGCCAAAGATTATTTCCACGGTTAAAGAGGATACAAGAAAAGCATGGTCCCTTCTTTTCAGCCCAATCATGTCGACGCCTTTGCCAAAATTGTCTACGACTTCTAAATACAATACCCATAAATGGAGATGATGTGCGCCACAGAGATTGGCGTTTTGATGGCGGGAAATTATTTCGACGCCGGCAATTAAATCAATTACCTGAATGAGCTTCTGTTCTACAACAGGGGAAATTCGTGTAAATCAGTTAGTTTGTGGAAAGCCTCTCAAGCGAGAAAATCTCATATCTAAAGGCAACCGGTGTGCGGATCAGTGACCCCCCTCGAATTCGTAGCGCCTTAAATGTCCGTCACAATTGACAATCCAAACATCCTATAGTATGATGAGACCTATCGTTACTCCTTCCTAGGAAATTAATGAAGCTTAAGGCCTATGATAATGCTCATGTAATAGTTTCAAGCACGAGTATCGTGACGTGAAGAGAGGAGGCGTCCATCATAAAGATACTCTTACAATTCATATAGCGGTTGCGGTATCATTGGCACTCGATTATACATGAGATATAAAGCGAAAGTGTACGAAAGCGGGCGTTAATAAGCCTGGATATGGAGTAAAGGCAGCTGAAACGTTACAATCCCTTGCATCACCCAAAACGAGAGTTGCAAAACAAGAGAGGCCACCTCACGAATGATATAACACGACAACAGTGCGCTGTATCTCGCAAACAATGAAATGGTTGTATCAAATGAAGGCTGATCTGTGCCCAAGGAAAGACAACCTGAGCACGGAATGAGTGGCATGCAGTACGAAGCCCCTCGCGAATTTCACCGCAGGCATCCAATTCGAAATACTCTGAAGGCGATAGTGCTTGAAAGTCGTGGCATGGTCAAAGTAGTCCAAAAGGAAGCCCGGAATGCGGCGAGACAGAGGGAGGCTTGAAGTTCGCCTACGACAATTTTGTGATTAGTTCTGTGACGGTCCTCGCCAATTCACAGATAAGGGTTTATGAGTCTCGCTATTGGCCTGAGGGTGGCTGCTATTAATTGAAGAAGCTTCAAGATGACGTTTCACCCCGTAGGACGGGATGGATATGACTTGAATGGGACACAAGACAGAAAGAGATGAAGGCTTGTCCGCCCAATGAACTGTTGAACCAGGCTACAGCGATGAACGATCCTTCTGCTGGACCACTAGGAAGAGAAGCCGTGGAACGGGGGCCACGTATCTGTCCACAAATGCGCAAGGTCTGTGCTGTCTCTCGTCCCCAGTCTTTGGCGGATAGGCGTGCAAGTGTAGGGAATTACTTAACCCTAAGCAGTTCACAACGGCATCTGCACCAAGGTGCTTGAGCTGAAACACTATGACAGGCATGGGATGTCCCAACTCAAGCACACATTGAATTGAATCCTGTCGACAGGAGCGGATTCATGATCAAAGAAATGGAGAGTGCAGCTCACCGTGATGTAGATTGGATTTTCTGCGGATTCGTGAGCAACGCGCATGAGCGCAGGTCGTCACAGGACACTTCTAACCTTTACCCCTGAGGACACCGGCAGAGGCAGAGAAGCTTTTCAACCTCACTCCCTACGGGTCTTACCCAGCCACTGAAAAAGGCCGTGCCCATATTCGAAACGTGTTTAGCATCATGTTTGACTTATAACATGCGATGAGGCCCGTTCTTCCTGAATCGGCCCATGGGCCGAGAGCGTTGAAAGATGGACGCATTTCCACTGCGCGTGCCGCCGGTGAGATATGAGATATGAATGTCAGCCTTCCGTAACGCGCATCAGAACGTTCTATTCCCCACATGAGTCGTTCAAAGAACAGGCGGGATGGATATACTTACTGAAGTAGTGATGGGATTCAAACACACAGCAGGGATATCATGTTTCCCATTCGTATAAGATTGACGCTGGCACCCCACAGGATTCGACCACTCCTAACATATAAGAGCTTTAGACGTAAAACGATCGCTGTGGATCTCTTCACATCACCGTGTGTATGAAGCCGAAGCTGCACTACACAGACGAAAAGAGCAATAATCCTATTCCAGCTATCATTAGAACGGAAGATCTCACCGTGAATGAAGCCATATAACGATAGTCTACGTCATCGGGAGAGTGTTCGGACCATTGCCTTTCGGCTCCTGTTCTTGTACCGTGGAGAACAGTCAGGGTTGGGGAACGACGAGATAATCCACCAGTACCTGGAACGAAGAAGGAAAGTTCCCTCGTCTGGAAAACAATTCTTTGATGAGGCCGCACCAGTGATGACTGCGCTCTGTGGCAGGCCGCCACACGACGTTTACCTCGTTCCTTCAGCTCAGGGTTGATTCGTGAGTTCTTGCACGATCGCGCAGCAAGCGACATGAAAGACTGGGTCTGACTGGGTCCAGAACGATAGGCCCGTACGAACTACATCAGGATTCGTCCTTACCGTCTGTCACCTTGGTCCATTCGAAATATCGTTGGTTGGAACCTGAGACGAGAAATGCACACAAGACATGCATCCCATCCGCTTCTTTATCAAGCAGGGGTTTACGACATGGTAGTCAGGACAGTTGAAGAACAACTGAGGATCGACTTGTATTCGCAATCCCCAAAACAAAATGAATGAGAGGCGAGGGTATGGATAATAGGTAAGAATTAGTATTATGTACATGTTGGTTGTGTAGAGGAAAAACGCGCCGGGTAATCAATTGTCCTCCACACGCGACCTCTCCTCTTCGACATACTTTTGCATCAAGCCAACGAGTTTCATGAGATTTTGGCTAAACTTGGCTGAGGTCGGAACGACGTCGAGAGTCCTACCCTCCACGGTCACCATTTGGGTCCTGACGTACTCCTCTAGTCGTCGCAGCTTCTCCTTTGCATTCTCCACCTCCGTCGGGTTGCCATCACCTCCCAAAAGGTCTGCCTTATTGGCAACAACGATTCGTGCCTTCTCGCTCATTCCAGGTTGATAGTTCTCGAGTTCTTCGCGAAGGACAGCCAATTCTTCCCATGGTGCCTCTGCTGAAAAATCCACGACGTAGACCAAGGCTAGAGATCGCTCGATGGAGCGCAAAAAAGCGTGTCCGAGGCCAACGTTTTCTGCGGCGCGCGAAATGAGACCAGGGTTATCAGCGATGGTGAAGCGGAAGATCTCGAAGACGTCGAAATCGTGTCCCGCTCTCGTCGGTGTCGCAGAGGTATCGGAGGTCTCGTCAGGCGTCTGGTTGCGCGTCCGAGCATTGGCATATTCTCCACGTGCTACCCGTTCAGCCTCTTCGAGTTCTTCTCGCCATGTTTCGTCATGGACGGTTTGTCCAGATATGCTACCTTCGAAGGTGCCGTCCTCGGCTACGCGAACGATGCCGACAACGGGGTTGAGGGTGGTAAAGGCGTAACTTGCGATCTCGCTCTTGGCTCTTCCACCCGTCAGAGCTCGAAGCAGGGTGCTCTTGCCGGCGTTTGGCATTCCGACAAGACCCACATCAGCTAGTATCTTGAGTTCGAGAGACAAAGTGATTCGTTCTCCTTCAAGCCCTCGCGTCGCGAACTTAGGCGAGCGATTTTCGGTCGAGATGAAGTGAGGGTTTCCCAGCCCGCCTAGTCCGCCAGAAGCGATCAAGTGCCCAAGAGGTTCTTGGTGCCGCGTCCCAAGGGGTGCATTGAGTGGTCGTTCAAAGACTTCTTCCTTGTCAAGATCCAGGCTGATAAGTTCTTGTGTCGCCTTTCGTCGACTCTCGAACTTGCGTACGCGTTCGGCTTTGTAGTAGGCTGATTCCGCCTCCTTGAACGAGTCTCGTTCCACGTTGTCGTCTCTGTATCGAGGATAATGCACCCAACGCTTTTCCCGCATCTTGTCGCGTTTGTCGGATGGTTCGAGGCTTTCGAGCGACTCTTCTTCCGCTTCCCATACATCCTTCGCTCGACGAGGGTCGTTCCAAGGTAGTTGTCTAGCAGTAGTCCCTACGGGCACCTTGATAACCAACGGTGCCCCCGCTTTCCCGTTCTGCCACGTCCCTTGTCCATGACTACCATTTTCACCTCGAATCTTCTTGGGTACGGAAGAGAGTGTCGTCAGCTGGGGGGTAGGGAGAATGTAGACGTCTCCTCCACGCCCTCCGTCTCCACCTGATGGTGGTCCGAAGGGTATGAACTTCTCTCGATGAAAGGCGGCACAACCATCCCCTCCTTTGCCTGCTGGCTGTGAGTCCTAACATCCAGCGAAGCGCCCACAACACGTACCCCCACGAACAGTAATGATGACATTGTCAAGGAACGATTGACCCTAATCCTCGTCAGCTAGAGGTCGACGAGCAACGAACTGCTTTTGCTCACTCCTTGTCTCCGTTTCCAATCTGTCTTTCGTCGTCTCCTGAAGGTCTCTAGATCTTCGCTGGTGTATTTGGATGGACCTGAGCGGTCTTGACTGCGTATTTCCGAGCCTTCTACACCTGTTGACAGTAATCGATAGAATGAAGCAAGAGGCCTTGCAGGAGACCTCAACAGGCGCTGCATGAAAGTTGGAAGCCAAACGCGGCGAGCCGGCCCGATTCTCCCAGCTGGCGGCACAGCCACACAGATTTAGGTTCGCAGGAGGTCGCATCTTACTTCGTCAAAGTTTTTACGTGGATAATGTTAATGATTAATGACCCTCGAACTCTATTGATACTTGTCGCAGAGTACACTCAGGTGAGTGCTCAGTTTTCCTTGGATTGGAATACCCGCCGTCTCGCATGCTGTGGATTCCCAGGCCCCTACATAAAGAGACCAGGAAATGTTGAGGGCAGATGCCCCACACTCCTTCTTGTTTCTCTTTCTCTCCTCCCACCAAGTGGCCCAGTACGTTTGGTCCGAACACCTGCCATCCGATCCCTTTAATTTCTTGTTGTGTACGGAAACACACCATGACCGAATGAAACCCTTCCCCGACGCTCATCACTTCTCCGGTTTTGATCCGTTTGGCTATCGGAGTCCTCTGGCGCCGGTCTTGTCGCGTTTCGAGTTCATCTTAAAAGTGCGCGCTATGCTGTCCTTCCCGGTGTTACGCTCTCGTCCTAGATTCTGTTAGACTCCTCCTGCCCGTCCCTCTGCCTGATCACAGAACTTCAACCCAACCAACAGTTATGCAGATCGATCCGAACCACGAAGGACCCTACCCCCTCCTCCCCGTCGACTCCGAGACGTGCTCCCACCTCAATTTCTCTGACACCGACGACATCGCGCAATGGTTCTCCACGGATCTCACACTCATGCACAACGTCATCATCCGCGCGCTGAACGCGATCTGGCTCTACGCGCCGCTCGTCCTACCCGAGGACGAAAGTGCGTTCACGGGGTACGCGCTGGCGTGCGTATCGATGATCCGATGGCATCATGATGCGCAAGAGAATTTCGTGTTTCCGAGGCTGCAGAGGAAAGCGGATATGCGGCCGAATGTGCTGCAGCATTTGGGGTTTGACGCGCGTATGAAGAGCTTTGAAGAGTATTTGAATAAGGTTCATGATCGAAGGGAGCCGTTTGATAGCGAAAAGGTGATTGAGCTAAGAAGAGGCTTTGGAGGAAAGTTGGTTCAGCACTTGCATGACGAAGTAAGTAAATGCTGTTTCCTTCGTTCATTTGACAATCCCAATCCCTCCCCAGGTTAGAACTGTCTCTCCAGCTCGTCTGTTAACGTTCAACCGAGATAAACTGAAGAGGATTGCTGACGGTTAGGAACTTCAGATGTTCTCTATATAAATTTCTTCATTTGTTCATGCTATCTTTTCTCAAAATAGCCCTTGACGACAACAAAACAGGTTTCCGAGATTCGTCAACCCTCTTTCCCTTCATCATAACAGCGCATAATCAAGAACACGCGCCTGACTGGGTTAGTCTTAATTTTCAGTTACTCTGACAGTCCGTTTGGAATTGAATTATCCGTAGCCAGTGGTCCCAACCGCTCTCAAATGGTTCTTGAGCCACGTTGGACTTCACTTGCATCGCCAGTGAGTACCTCTCTTCTCCCCCAACATCTCCTCTCATCTAGCACTTTAATCCCAGATACTGGATATTCTCTCCCTACACCATAGACGGAGAGTTGCAAAACTATCCCCCACACAAACACGAAGACTGACTTATTCTGTATCACCATTTCTTATGCAATATAATCCCGTCATATCGTATTTTCTCATATAGAATGCACTGAAATAGCCCGAATATTGTTAAGAGCATGCGCTAGGGAGAGTCGATACCTTGTCAACTACCGCATAAACCGGCCCACTCCTTTAATGCGGGCGAAAAGGAACTTTCCATAAAAAGAAATGTGGCGCATTCGAAGCGCACATCCATTGTGGGTGATCGCGATCATGATCGGCATCGAGAACTTTGGTTCAAACATTGTTGTTGCAAGGAAGCTCTTCTTATAATACAGTATGAAGTGGATTCGATATATATCTACTATAGACCCTTCGAAGTGCTTTCGCTAAAAGTGTCTAGAATATCACTGAGAGGAATCAATTTGACTTCGGAGGCGGACGGCCCGACTCTGGTCGTGGAGTACCACTATGATACCCACTCACCTTGAGTCGGGGCCACCGTCGTGAATGTGGAAGAAAGTGTCTTGAGTCATCATAAATTTCAGAAGTCGGAAAGTAAACCTCTGAATATACACGTTTCATCTCTGCCTTTTGTCTAAATAAAAATTTAAATAAATGAAGCAGCTTTACACCGTAGATACCTTCCATTATGCAGTGATATGTCCTCTATGAGTGCTGTTCAAGGAGACCGCGAAGCAAAACCTCCAAAGAAAGAGAGTGAGGTGGTGCACCCGAGCGCTTATGTATCACGGTGCTCGATATAACGATATCAATGAGTGTTATGGCTGGGATTCTAAGGCTGTTAATTGGACCCTTAGTTATCAGGATGGAGGATTCTTCTTAAATTATTCTATCAGAGGTCACCTAAGAAACGTTTCTGAACACAGATGTCTCCCTGAGTAGGTACCCTTTCAGAGTAAGCATACAATAATTGAGTAAACCTATTACATGTGATCCGCATCTCAAAGTGTTCCTCAGCTGGAAGTTAGCGTTCGACTGTAGATAGGGGCCGGGCCGTGTTTTACCAAACACGTGCTATCCCGCTGGTACGCACGTGATGGGTCCATGTAACGTGTCACTCAGATTCTCGAATCCATCCCCAACGTTTTCGTATTGTCCCCCATTCCACCGCTCGCTGGGGCGTAAAGCTTTCCTTCAGATCTCTTCATTTACCAGCAGCACTCCGCCTCTAGGCGCAAGACACTATGTTCACCGAAGAACTCAAGGCCTTCAAGAGATTAGGCTTTCGCCATGTACGTTGATTTTATGAAACCAAGACGGGAATGCATCATAGCTCACGCCTTGTTGCAGGTTTTACTACAAATTCTTAACTTTGCGTCCGTCATTGCGTCGGGCTTGATGATATGGAAAGGCCTTGGAATCGTCACGAACTCGGAATCACCCATCGTTGTCGTGCTCAGGTGCGAGACGCGAATTTGAATTTGACCAGGAACTTAAGCACTGACGTGATGTAACCTCAGCGGGTCTATGGAACCAGCGTTCTACCGTGGCGACCTACTCTTCCTAACGAACCCTGCTGGCGAGCGGTATAATACAGGCGATATCACCGTGTACAAGATTCCCGGAGCTGACATCCCCATCGTCCATCGTGTCCTCGAAACTCACGACGTCAAACCGAAGAAGTCATCAAAAACTGCTGCGACGAGTCCTGTAAACCAACTGCTATTAACGAAGGGCGACAACAATTACGTCGATGACATAGAGCTCTACCAAGGGCTAGAGTGGCTAGAGCGGAAGCACATCGTTGGAAAAGTTAGAGGGTGCGTTGTATTATTTTCCTCGCTTTCCTTTGTGTGGGTAATTGAACGCTCTCTCCTGTAGGTTCTTGCCATATGTTGGATATGTGACAATTGCAATGGTGCGTATCTTTTGTTTCTCTAGAACCTCGGTTCTGACACGTCTCTGTTAGAATGACTTCCCCCAACTGAAATATGCACTGTTGGGAGGACTGGGTCTTCTTGCTCTGATACAGCGGGAATAATTTATTTCATAGGTGTCATCTCTATGATGATGGAGTTATACCTTGTAACATCAATCTAATTCGTTCCATGATCATATGACCGGTCATTGTCAAGTCGATCCTTATGTCAATCCTTTTGTCGCCGACGATGCAAGTCAGGTTGGATACCTACCCACTGCGCTTTCAAAAGCAACTGTGAAGACACGGTCGTTGTTGGGCGGTCAATCAAGTGAAGACCAGCAGTCAATCGACAGTAGCCCCGACTGTTGCTATGCCTCTACTGGGACGTGGCTTGAGTAAGGTCCATTTTTGACTGCTGGCTACACAGAACCATTTGACCCAGATGTCAAACCAGGATATGTTAGAGAGTTGCAGAGCGTTTGAGCAGAGCTTCTTTGACATGGAAGTGAGGTGTGCTTCGCCAGTATGTGAACTTTGATACTGACCGAAGTTTCCTAATTGCAAAATGTTCTCAGTATTGCACAATGCAGTTGGCTCCGACTCGACAGAGAACGAATATATCTTTCCATAACTTAGAAGCTTGTCAAATGCCTGATCACTGCACCCTGGTCCTCGTGCTAAAATAGCCATGGGCAAGTACTTAACAACGACCAACGGAGCTCTGGTCGTCCTTCGTATTTCAGGAGCTTCTAGTTTCCGTCATCCTCAGTCATCGAATGGAACCACCAGCGTCCACGGCTCTTGCGCCACTGCGTGCCTTTCGCAAATTACCGTGTCTCTAACATAGTCAACCCCGGAACACATGACTCCCAGTTATCCAACCCCACCCGTTCATTGTATTCACCATCCGGATTTCGTTGTGTAGACAGCCAGAGTTTTAACTTTCTTCGTCCTCCTGCAAAGGCTTACGCAGGTAGACGAGGCTGAGCTTCTTTAGTTGCGATGGTACGGACCCATTGTCCCACAATGTTTGTGTATGATTTAGGCGTCGAAGAACACCGGCGACCGCAACGCATATCAGTGTACCATGCTGTTCAAGATCTTGGGCCGGAGGAAGCTTCGGTTCCTGTGAGCGGAACGGACATTCGTTCGATCATTCGTGTGCAGCGGCGGAACTCCTTATATTTGGGCGACTCTGTTCGACCAACCTATCTTCTCTTTTCCTTTACGGTGTTGCCGGTCCTCGTCCGTTCTCTTTCTTTCGTTATTTTTTACATTTTCGCCGTTCTTCTTGAATTCGTCATTACGCCGCGCGTTCGTTTCAAACCATGCAGCTTCTCAAGTCTTCCGCTATCTTAGCGCTCGCCATTCTTTCCGCAAACGCACTTCCAGCCGCCGACCGCGCCGCCGCCGAACAGCGCGGTCTACTAGACGACATCCAAATCACCGACGACCTCATCATCTTCGACTCGCCCGCCTTCCCCGACCCGAACAACCCCGGGAACACACTCGTTCAGCTACAATCCTTCGCGTCGCTCCGCCAGATTGACCTCGGGGTTGTCAGCAGCGCCGTCAGCGCGTTCCTGGGTACATTGGGCGTCGACGTCGGCGACAGTCTCAATACGCTTCAGGAGAGGATCCGCCTGCTTGGTGCGATTGGCTTACCAGGCAAGTCAGCGACAATCAGCGTATCCGGATGCGTGAACGAGGTGGAGACGGGCGAGACGTCGGGTCTGCCCAACTTGGGAATGTCGATCGCCACGGCGTCGTTGGGCGATTGTGGGAGCGCGACGGAGCTCACGGGCACGGCGTCGCTGACGTTCTTGGATAATAGAAAGATATCGGGCTCGATTTTCGCGTCGCCGGATTCGGGCTTCGGTGTTATATCTGGTGCGTCGTTTTCAAACACGGTTTCCTCTTGAACGTGGCTTATGACGGGTATCGTTTATATTATTTGTTTAGATATTGACGACACTGTAAAAATCTCTAACGTCCTTGACACGCTCGAGCTGATCAAGTCCACGCTCCTGGACGAGCCCAAGGCGGTCCCCGGCATGCCCGAGCTTTACACCTCGCTTGCGGCTTCGCTCAACAAGCCCCAGTTCGTGTACATCACCGGCTCGCCGTTCCAATTGTTCCCCTTCTTGAACGATTTCCTTGACTCGGCGTATTCGACGGCCAAGGGCCCTATCTTCACCCAGAACCTGACGGTCATTGACCCGGTGCAAGCCATTCAGTTTATTACCAACTCCAACACCCAGGCGTATAAGGTCTCGCAGATTGATCGTCTGCAAGCTATGTACCCCAACAAGAAGTGGTTGGCGATTGGTGACTCGACGCAGAAGGATCCTGAGGTTTATGCCGAGGCGTGCGTGTTAATTTGTGATCCAAAAAGCCTACTTCCTGATATCGTCCTCGTAGATTCAACAAAGGCGTGGCCATTTCTTGCGCCTGGATCCGCCAGGTCGAAGGCGCCGATAACTCTGCCGAGCGCTTTGCTACGGCCTTTGCAGGGGTTCCTCCTGACAAGTTCAGAGTGTTCACCGACGCTGAGATCCCCGCTCTCGCTAACATCGAGGTCGCTGGTGGGGAGTGCTAGGCGTTCAGGAAGACTTTTTTCGTTTGGTTCTGGCTTCAAGGCGAGAATACTCTTAAATAATTTATTTCTTCCGTTTTTGCGTACTCTATGATGAACCACGTACCCACAAGCGCCCATATGAATCGTTTACGGCTTCCTTTTTATATCTTCGGATGTGTAGAATCCTTTAAATAAACACTAATGGAAGTGTTGAGAAAGACTCGATTAATTGACCTATTCGACTTCGTGAGGCCACCGCGGGCATCTCAAAAAAGAGAGGCATTTCAGCGCCACAAATCGCTTCCCTCATATAAGCGCCCGAGACTGCCTAAGGCTTTCCGTATTGTCGCCTCGTCCTTGAACTTGGTAGACGTCCTGGCCGACTTGTCGCTCTGGCTGCCGTCTTCGAGCATCTTCCCAAATATTTTTACAAATCCCAAAGAAATCGCCCAATCATCGACGAGCAAAGAGTCTTGATCGGCGCTCTTCGGCACTCCTTCAGCCGTTCGAAGTTCTAAATTACCTTGGCCAACACCTGTATCGAGGTCGCCCATTGGCTGTGTCGGACTGGGAGCAACGAAGAGAGCCTTCAACGCATTTTCAACGGTTTTTTGACATCAATAATTTGTCATGCAATTATGGGCGTTGATGATCGTCCTGGAAATGCCCGACGATCCCTTGCCGACAGCAGCTTTCGGAAATTCACACACTCACTTGTTCCCGACGATCATCCTACACGTATGCATTCCGACCCTCCTCCGCCTGTCTTTTTTTTTCTGCAAGGTCAGCTGCCCAAGCGGCGCAAGGGGGAAGCTATACGGGTTTAAATTCATGATTCTGGAGGTTCTTGGGCGCTGACACTGAGTGTTAGCGATATCGTCGTTCTTCTCGGTCCTTGGACTAGTTGTCAACAATCTCTCTGGAACTTCTACGATTCCCACTGAACCTACCGATGTTCAGCATGAATACTCGGGCTTTCAAGGGGAATTTCCGTTCAATTTCAAATGGTCAGCGGGGGCGCAGAATGTCCTAGTTCTGGTCGTTGTGGCGTAGCCCAGGATCCCACGAGGAAGGAAGGAATGCACCTCCTACCAGTCCATGTCGCGATATGATGCAACTGACTACCAACCGTATCTTTGTTTGACCACGCTGTTCACGTCTTGGAATGCCTGCCTGAAGCGTTGCTGTATCTAAGCGAAGGGTACGCGGACCGCTTAGCGCTCGTTGGTTGTTCCCGTCGCTTGCAAGCGGTGACAGAAAGGAGGGAAGAAGGGCGAATGCACGGAGGGCTCGAGGGCATATAAAACCCTGTGTGCGACGATGGTGGTTCTCCAGACAGGCAGGTTCCTCGTCCTTCACACTCGAGACATCGCTGCGCGAGTCGACCCAACAATCAACCGCCTCCACACATCTTCCTCGCCTTACGCCTCTACGAGCCTCCTCCTCCCTCCTTCCTGAGACGCCCTATCACTATGTTGCTCTTCAAGTCCTGCGGCCTTCTCGTTCTTGCCGTTTTGTCGGTCATCGGTGCCCCTGTGGGTACGCCCAAACCGGCGGCCAAAGGCCGCGCTACCCTCAGCAGGTCCAAGTCACTCGTTGGTAAAGGACCAGCCGCGAAGGCACCCGCCCCCGCGACTGCTGCCAAAAAGACAGTGGTCAAAGGCAAAGGTAAGGGGCCTACATCGCCTGGCAGGGCAGCTCCAGTAGCTGCTGCTGGTGCTGCCGCGGTCCCCTCCACAGCGCAAACGAAGGCCGGCAGCAGCATTGCACAGAAAGCCCACAACCTCATTGACAACATCCACGCGACCGACGACCTCATTATCTTCGACTCGCCCGCGTATTCCGATGCCAACGGCAACACCATCGTCGCCCTTCAGACCTTCGCCTCCATCCGCCAGATCGATCTCCACAAGGTCACGAACGCCGTCACAGGTTTCCTCAAGACCCTCCACGTCGATGTCGGTAACAGCCTCAACACTTTCCAGGAGCGCGTCAAGCTGCTTGGTGCCATTGGCCTCCCGCACAAGTCGGTCCCCTTCAGCGTACCTGGATGCTCTGGCACAGCGCAATCGGGTCAGACTGCTGGTCTTCCTGATCTCGGTATCTCGTTGAAGACCGTCAACCTCGGCAAGTGTGGCGCAGCGCACGAGATGACCGCGACCGCAACTCTGTCTGCCAGTGACAAGCGCGTCATGAAGGGCTCGATCTTCTTCTCCCCCAACTCTGGCTTTGGAGTGATCTCCGGTGCGTAGTTTCTTTGACCGTTTTATCGGTGACCACTAACGCGTCTCTTTGCTTTCAGATATCGATGACACGATCAAGGTCTCACACGTCCTCGACAAGGCTAAACTTATCAAGTCGACGCTCCTCGAGCCACCCAAGGCTGTCCCTGGCATGCCTGAGGTGTACGCCTCGCTTGCCAAGTCGCTCAAGCAGCCCCAGTTCGTATATGTCAGCGGCTCGCCCTACCAGCTCTACCCTTTCTTGAACTCCTTCATCGACACCTCCTACGCCGCGTCTAAGGGCCCCATCCTGCTCAAGAACTTGACTGCTGTCGACCCCGTCCAGACTATCAAGTTCATCACCGGCTCGAATACACAGGCGTACAAGGTCATGCAGATTGACCGTCTGAGGGCAATGTATCCCGCTAAAAAGTGGCTTATGGTCGGCGACTCCACCGAAAAGGACCCCGAGGTCTATGCTGAGGCGTAAGTATCCTTTCTGACCGTTCATAATCATCTGTCTAACGTCTTCATCTCCAGATTCAAGAAGGGCGTCAATGTTGCCTGCATCTGGATCCGCAACGTAGACGGCTCCGCCAACACCCCCGCTCGCTTCGCCGCTGCCTTCGCAGGCGTCCCGAAGACCAAGTACAGAGTCTACAAAGACGCGGAGATCCCCTCCCTCTCTAAAGTCAATGTCGCTGGTGGACAATGTTAGATGTTCGAATCAAAAGATGTAATGAGTTCCGCTTTTTAGACCACGCTTTACGCTCTTAGGTAGTTATGTAATTTATTCATGTAAGTAATGCAACATGTAATAGGGATTCTGGATTGGGTCTCGGAATACTTTTTGGAGAAGTAAATGTGCGCATCAAGGGACGGGAAGAACTCGGAGATGGACGGCAAATGGACGGGGGTCTTCGCGTCCAAGTTTGCCTTCAGCATCTCGCCCCTCTACCTCTCCCGCATCGCAAATTCTTTAGGCATTGATGATTACCAAGTAGTAGCTTGCAATCCACGACGAGGCAAAACTGACTAAGGATGACGCGGCCTTCCTCGAAGCTTCGAGCCACGGAACTCGGTGAGCCATAATTTTGACCACCATATTATTGCTCCCAGGCTGCATAACGAAATGCCTCTTCTCCATTTCGAAGGCATCTAGGAGCTGAAGCGCTGACAGTCCCACCACTTTCCTCGCAGCCTCGATGGGTCTTGCAGGCGACGATGACAAAGAATTTTTTCAAGTGCGAGGCCGCGAGGCCGGCGGCTGTTCGACCTACTCCCATTTCCCTCCGGTCCAGAGCGAGATGAGACGATCTCCAGTACCCAGGGAACGAAGGCTCATTCAAGAAACCAGTATGTCCGAGTTTCAGCGATGCTTAGACAGCATTGCTGTCAGTGCATGCAGTGCAGGAGAGCCAGACGTCGGCCAATTGATGGGCGTTGTACACAGTTCGAGGAGGCGGGAAAGGCACAGCAGAGTGAGTAATCCAATCGTCGAAACGTCGGAAAATAATCCTCTGAGAGGATCTAGGGTGCTCTAGATGCCCTTCGACTTGAGCGGCTCTCTTTTGACCGCGCGGTCCGCACGTTTAACTTCAACGTGATGCGAACTATCGCCAAAGACTTGCATAATTCAGTCTCTGTTTGTCGAGCGGAAACCCTCCCGGCCAGAAGAGAGGTCGTGGTTGTATGTGAAGTGAAGGAGGGATTGTAAACGCGCCAGGCGTCTCGGTGAGTCTGGAATATCAGTGTCTGTGCCACAGCTTTCTTACGACAAGCTCTGATGCAGTATTTTGTGCTTGAAACGCGCGCCGGGGTGCTTTGTCGTCGTTGATATCTCGTATAGCGCCAAGGCAAGACCGTCCTTTTGAGGGGAGCCGCGTGCACCGATCAAACCTTCGATCATCTTGGCTCTAGCACACTTTCCTATATCATTGCGACTGCTTCAATCGCAAGAATGATTGACGTATCTCACACCACACCATGAAAGTCGCAGTATTTGGGACGCGTAATGTGAGTCCTGTATGGTGGGCGCCTTCGATACCGCAGGCTAACATCGCGTCTCCTTCAGTACGATGTCGATTCTCTGAACAGCGCCAACGGCGAAGGAAGCGACATCACTTTCACTTTTTATGAGGCTTTGCTGGACGATAAGACAGTGGCCCTCGCAGGCGGGCACGATGCAGTCTGTATCTTCGTTAACGACCGCTGCAACGCCCGGATCCTTCAGAAACTACACGAGCTAGGAGTTGTACGTCCACCTTCTTCCGATCCTTCTCTCCGCCAACTTGACAACGCCTACAGAAATACGTCGCACTGCGATGCGCAGGTTTCAACAACGTCGACCTCAAGGCTGCTGAAGAGTTGAATATCAAGGTCGCCCGTGTACCTGCCTACTCTCCAGAAGCCGTGGCCGAGTTCACAATAGGGATGATTATGACCGTCGTGCGAAAGTACCATAAAGCCTACAATCGCGTACGAGAGGGCAACTTCCTCCTGGATGGTCTCCTCGGTATCAACCTCCACGGGAAAACAATAGGGATCATCGGGACAGGAAAGATTGGGCTGTTGACGGGAAAGATCCTCTCAAAGGGATTTGGGGCGAAGGTCATTGCATACGATCCCTACCCTTGCAACCTTGCGGAGGAGTATGGCATCACATACGTCGACAAGCTGGAGGACCTACTCTCGACATCGGATATCATCAGCTTGCATTGCCCTCTTATGGACTCGACGAAGTATATCATCAACGACAATACCCTGTCGCATACGAAGCCCGGCGTCATCTTAATTAACACCTCTCGTGGTGGCCTGATTGATACTTACGCGCTAATTCGGTAAGTGTTTGAACGCAAGGCCTTCCTTTGTGTTCTGACACATCAACAGTGCATTGAAATCTGGGCATGTGTCCGCAGTTGGACTGGACGTCTACGAGCGAGAATCTGGTTACTTCTTTGCAGATTCTAGCGCCAAAGTAATAGCAGACGATAGCTTTGCTCGCTTGCTTTCCTTCTACAATGTATTCATGACGTGAGTGACAGTCTTGGATATAATTCGAACTTTATTCAATGCCTTGCAGAGGACACCAAGCCTTCTTGACACGAGAAGCATTGGAGAACATCGCAGATACCACTATCAAGAACCTTCGCGCTTTAGAAGCTACAGGAACCTGTGATTGTATCGTTAGACAAGAGAAGTAAAGGCTAGACAGCGAAGATCATTCAGATAGTGTACTATTTCGTTTTACAGACAGGCAAGCAAGCATATACATAGATACTGTTGAAACAACAAAGAGCAAGTCGACAAGCAAAAACCCGAGATGAATCTAACCCTCAATTCTCCGAATCATCCTCTTATCCCTTTCCCCAACGACCTTGACGAGACCCTCATTCTCCAAACCCTTGATAACTTCCGTGAACTCGACGGCATCGACTCTGACACTGCTCTGCTCGCCTAGCAGCTTGAAGGCATCTGTCCACTTAATACCCCTGGTATTCGCCTTTCCATCAAGAAGGGCCAGGATCTCCTTCCGCATGTCATCTCTAAGCTTCCTTTGACCAACCCCCGTACCCGTATTAAGCAGGCCCATATCGATCTTGCCTGTCCTCGGGTCCATAGCACTCGTCCTGATTGCCTCGCGCATCAGCCGGCTTGCTTCCTTGACGTCCTGGAGCTCGACGAAGTCGGAAAAGCGCATTCGTGCGTGCGCCTCGGAGAGACGAATGAGAGACTCGAGCTGACGTGTCGTCGCAGTGATACGCTTTTCGCTCGCTCGCGGGTCGTCGCCCATATTGCGCATCTCAACGTAGGACCGGACGAGTTCAGCGCCTGCTTCCTCGGTTATGATTGGGTGGACTTTGGACCGTGCATAGTCGATGTAGGCGGAAAGTTCTTGGAGGGGCTGAGAGCAATATATTCTTCAGATTGGATTGTCCCGATCAAAGTTCAAGAACACCTTACAAGGAAATCTTGAGTTTCAGTCAGAGGAGCATCTTCCAGGTAGAGACCAACAAGGTGCTGAGCCAATCTACGGTCAGTGTTCTCTTCGACTTGATCGAGCACAAGATACAGTAAGTCAAATCGAGAGATCAACGTCGGAGGCAGGTCGATGTTCCTCGTAATGGGCAGATTAACGTCGTATTTCGAACCGACGGGGTTGGCAGCAGCGAGGATGGAGGTTCGGGCGTTGAGTGTGGTAATAATGCCTGCTTTAGCGATAGAAACGGTTTGTTGTTCCTAGAAGAACCTTGAGGCGATCGCTAAAGCAGAAGCAAGCGATATCATACCATAACTTCATGCAAAACGCTCCGCGTTGCGTCTGACATCTTGTCGAATTCGTCGATGCAGCAGACTCCCCCGTCGCTGAGTACGAGAGCACCACTAAACAGAAGTTAGAACGGGCCATAAAACAAGAGGGGCTTGTATATCACCTTTCCAACACGAGCTGCTTCGTTTCTGGGTCGCGCGTAACGTACGCCGTCAGACCAACCGCAGAAGAGCCTTTGCCTGACGCATATACACCGCGAGGAGCAATCTTGTGGACATACTAAGGCAGAGGACAATCAAACAATGACGAAAAGGATAGAATTAAAAGCTACTGACCTGGAGGATCTGCGACTTGCTCACACCGGGATCACCAACAAGTAGCACGTTGATGTCGCCTCTGTATCTTGGGCCTCCGCCTCCTCCACCCTTGGCAACACTCTTGTTCGTGCCGCCAAACAGCTGCAAGAGGATGCCCTTCTTGACGTCCTCCATCTCCCAAATGGACGGCGCGAGCGAGCGAGCCAGGTATTCATAAATGTCTGGCCGTTGGCTCAATTCCTTCAACTTCTTCTCGAGATCGGCTCTGCGGTTCTGCTGGCCTGCCCGCTGCTCTTCATCATCATCGGCCCCATCGCCGACACCACCGACGCCTGGAATCCTATCCCCGCCGGCAGGTCGTGTGCTCTTATCGAGCCCCAAGGTCCCCCCTGTGCCGAGCTTAATGTGGACGACGTCAAGATACGTCTTGAATAAGCTTTTGAGCGTTCGTTGACGTGGGTTGGAGCGAACAGGCACGCTGCGGTAGATGCCAGTGACAAAGATCCTGTCTCCGGGTTTCGATACGTCTACGAGTTCGTCGTACACACTGAGAGACACGGTGTGTGGCGTCTGGCCGTCAGGGACAGCGTCGGGGGTTTCCTGCAGACGGATGACTTGACGGTCTGCAAACTCGCAACGGTTGTGAACGAGAGACATTGTTCCGACCGAGGCGCAGACGTCCCGAGGACATCGATTTGGCTCTTCGATCTTGCCACGGTCGATCTCGACTTGGACGGTATGCGAACATGTCAAGCAGCGGAAGAACGCCACCTTCATGTCTGGAATGACTGGAGTGGCGCGGATGACAAGACCTTTAACGGCAACGAGCTTGTCGGTGTCTAATGGTATTCAGATTAGCAGGTTCCGGAACGATGCTAGAGAAAACGCACCAGATGGGTTCAGACCACGCATATTGACCGAAGGCACACCAAACGGTCGAACTTTGTAGATCCTTCCCAGAATCTCTGATATTTCTTCGTCACCTTCCTTGCCCTCCATTCCTTCCATCCCAGCCTGCTGGTCCATCTCGGCAGTGTCAAGCATTAAATCCTTCAAAACCTGATCCATTGCGGGTATAACCTCCTGCGGGTACTTGAGAAATTGGCCATGCAATTTCTTGGAAGCAGGATAAGCAAGCAGGTTGACAACATCCAGATTGAGGTTCGTTTCTCCCGTTTGACGCATCCTCCTGAAGTAGCCCTCGTACAAAAGAACTTCGCCCTCTTCCGGAGAAGCAAAGGCGCGTGTCTTAAGACCCTGCTCCCTATCGTATGAGACCCGGTATTTGGGCTTGAATCCTTTCAGAAAGTCCTTGAAGGTTTTCATTGTATCGGTGAGGTTGACAGTCGTTCCCCAGATGGCGCGAATTTCGTCAGGTTCGTCAGATGGCGGTGCTTGGACAGAGAGATTGGGTGCTGAAGACGGTGGGATGCCATGATCAGAGTTGAGGGTAGGACCTCCAGGAGTTTGTTGGAGACGTCGTGCAGATCGGCGAACGGAGGCGCTGGGCGTGATGGAAAGAGAGGAGTGGATATCTCCGCGGCGGTTCTTGGGTGTCGCGTGTGCGGCAGGGCTTCTTTCAAGGGTATGAGAGACATGATGGATTTATACGGAGGCCTAACATACGAGGGGAAGTTGAGGGGCTCTGAGTCCTGCTGGGGCTGATCTGAGGGAATTGGGTCGCGTCTTCGGGGTGTTTTCGTAGGTGAAGAAGAAGGAAATGCCATTGGAGAGGAGCTTCCTGCTAGAAACGCGTTAGGCGTCGCAGATATCCCCAATAAACAAGACGCTCATACCAGTGAAAAGAGGCGTCCTCTTCGGTGTGCTCATACCTAATGCACGCCGGGCGGTTGCACCACGAAGTGGAGAGCTTGGCTGTGCATGTCGTTGGTGTGCCGGTGTACCGGCAGTGGAAGGTGTGGCAGCAAGGAAAAGGGGCACTGGAGGTGGGGCTTCAGGCATCGACTGCTCGCCAGTCGTGCCGTCACCCATTTCTACGTCGCCCATCTCGGATGAAGGAAAGTCAAGGGCTGGTGGAGACGACATCCTGAGGGTATTGAAGTATCGTTTGCCAGTTACAAATGCTCGTGGAAGTCTTGAACAATGAGAACAACACGCGACGCGACGCGTCAAATTTGAGTTTAGGGCAGGCCTGTTGGGCTGCACATTACACTTCAGCTTCAAAGCTTCAACCCTTGCTCGGCGGATCCGAGTCGTTGCTCAACGTCAACTGTCGCTCACAAAACGTGCCAACGAAATACGTTTATTTTAAGGCGATGGATGAAACTCTCCACCCGGAATTGACGCCCTTTCAATTGTTGGACCAGATTGATAGTTGTTTATTAATTTATAAAGTCTAGCATGCCGCCGCGTTCGGAGAAATTTTTCTCATGTCAAGGATCGAAAAGCAGACTGGTGCAAATCTTGTCCAATAATCAGGAGAATCCATTATGAGCGCTAAGGGTAAGGGTGTTGAGGTCACTGAAGATGAGAATCCAGAAAAGAACAGTGGCATTGTTCGTTACAGGGAGGAACGATATCCCTGTACAAGCACGATTGGCAAGGAATATGAGATTCATGTACAAGCGAAGGAGAATAGCATGTACCAGCGGAGATACTGAGAGATATGAACAAGCGCTGATACATGGTGCGTGATCAGAGACCAACAGCGGTACTTAGACGCCGAAGCCCGCCTAAGCGCGATTATAAATTGCGACACTTATTTGGTCAATCTGAAGTCAGACCAGCTTTCTCTACCTTGATCCGGAGAGTATTCTTGTTTGAGGTAAGGCAAAATCATCACACTATATTCTCAGAGCTGAGACCTTGTGAATTCTAGACCTCGCTCCCGACTGCCTTAACAAGCGCTCGGATACAAGGTCTTCCGGTGCCTATGCAGAATTGCAATAGATAGACGAGCCTCCTATATAATATTTCCTTGTTCCTGCGACGAAAGACTCGAAAGGTATAGCAACGAAGGGACCTTTTGCCGAGAAAGGCAATCTTGGAGTCAGTGTGGCACCAAGCGATGAACAGCGGCTGGAGAAATTCCCTTGGCACGCCACCGCTTATACGCATCATAGCGTGGCCACTCGCAAGCACTGGGCCACACTCTAGAGGTATATAAGCACTTAGGGTAGAATTCTGTAAAGCCCAGTATTCTATATTCCATCCCCACTGCTTGAGCGCTTACCCGACGCCTTTCCTCATCATCCCGTCATGCTTTCCCCCTCCTTCCCTGGCCTCTCCGTCGCATTCCTCTCCTTCACAACTCTTTTCGAAGATAGAACAAACTCGTCTGTGTGGCCACGCGGAAAAACGGAGTACGGCAAGGACCTCTTTTCATACGAAGACTCGGACAGCACTCGTACCAGCGCAGAAGACGACTGGAACGACGCTGATCTTGACGAAAACGAGGAAGACGATGAGGAGGACTCGGACTCGGACTCTTTCTTCGAATGCAATGGCGAGTCCGACGACGACACGGAGTCGACCCTCGCCACAAATGGGTCGTCTTACCTCGACGCGCTGGACGCGCTGGAACTAGACACGACGAACATTGTGGATGAGAAAAAATCTGACTCTGTTGTCATAGAGGAATATGATTACATCGTCGACAGCCATACAGGTGGCTCTGAGCTCAACGATGATGACAACACATGGCAAAGCGACAACGAAGTGGACTTCAGTTTCAGCGCTTATTCGCCGGACGAGCTTGAGGTTCTGGAACAGTACGCGCCGCTTCTCTCTCCAAAGGACCTCCCTCGCGATATTTGCCACCTTTCAAATCCTCCATCTCTTCCGTTCCACTTTCCCAAGCCCCGCTTGCCGCTGCGAGCGGGGTCCTATGGGGTCATTCGCTACCTTGTCGAGAGGGAGGATATTACGGTATCTATGGTTCACGCGCGCTTCGACTCGGAGGGAAAGTTGGTCGTAAAGAAGGAGGACCGGGAGGTGTATTGCGCCAAGACCTGGAAAAAAATCTCCAGAAATAAGGCTGATGTTGAAGCGGAGCTCATGGCATACAGGCGTATCTCCAGTGGAAAAATTGACGCCGTCCCCGGAATTGACTTCGTCTTGAGTCTCGATGCGTTTCTCGAGGACAAGGATCATTTCTATTTCATCATGGTACGTAACCATGCACCCTCTTTAATATTTACTAAGGAGTTTTCATTTCGCCATGACCAAAATAACAGGAACCTATGCGATATTCCTTACGAGCTGTAATCAGGGATCGACCCACCGCTCTAAACCGCGTTGCGCACACCCGGCGTCTCCTCTCACAAATTGTAAATTCATTTTCTTTAAATTCCGTCCTATTTCTCCCCGGCCAACTTATAATTTCCCTTGTAGGTTCTGGGAGTCGCGGCTTTGCACGCCATAGGAATTATTCACCGCGACATCAAACCCGAGAACGTCCTCATTGACTGTGCGGGAAATGTCCAGATCATGGATTTCAACGTCAGCAAGGTTCGCCAAATCTCGAAGCCCTACCGCCCGCATGGTCTCTACGCCCTGGCCACAGTTGGTACCCTCCCGTACATGGCGCCAGAAGTCAGGCTTCAACAAACCCCATACGGGATTGAGATTGATTATTGGGCAATTGGATGCATTGTGTATGAACTAGAATCGACATATGGGGAGGTAAGTTCTATTTTGTGAGCATTTAGGGATTACGTAGGGCGACTCAAAGTTATTTCTTAAGGTTCTTTTTAATACACGGACAATATTCAACAAGTGGATTGACTCGATAAGACAGGGTTTTAGCCGTTCTAAATTCCTGACTAACGCTGGTTTGAAAGGCAGCGCCGTTTCCTTAGTTGAAGGGGTACGTTGACACGCTTTCACGATGATGTATATGGTTAACAGAGTATCCTCCTAGCTTGTACGCTACGACACAAGAAAGCGATTTGGGATACGTCAACTTCTATTTCATCCTTATTTCACAGTTAATGGGTGAGCACACTTTCTTTTATTTCCGAAGCGACCACTGACAATCCCTTTCACTTATAAGTGCTTCCACATTTCAGTTTGCATTAGAAGAAGGTACATCGTATCTGATATCAACCATTTTGCCATTTTTGACACGACCGCTCTTCCAGCCGAAAGACGCGCGCGTCAAGGATATAACATCAATATTCCGAGATCCTACAAAAAAATTTTCAACCCGCACGACCCTCGTGGCAGCTCACAGGCCTGGGTAAATCCCTGCGGCGCACTCGCCTCCTAAATATTACTCGACGAGAGAGACACTCCTTTGAGACCACAAGTTGGCGGCGCTCGATTATAAAATAGATAATGGTCAAATAATTGAAACACTAGAGTAATTCGAATAATATGCGCAAACTTCTACAATTCTCTGATACTGTGAACGCAGGGGTAAGGGCAGAAATTGCTCCCAACGCTCTCTGCCCGTTTTGGAAGGCTACCTTCCCGTTAGGGTATACTGATCATGGTGGCGGCTTTTCAACCTCGAAATTTTCAAAGTATCCCATCATTCCGAGTCCTACTTATATTCGCGGCATTTTTTGGCCTATAACGTAGTGAGGTACGAGCGTAGGGTTAGGGTGCGGTCTATGCATCAGCGGTGGCAGTGTTAGGTGAGGAGAACCTCTTTCTCCTCGACTGCCACCTGCTGCCCACGCTGAGAGCAGTCCAGCGTTGCGGGCTTTTCTTTTCTCATCGTATCTACCAACACGCGCTGTATCTCTGCTGTTCACTCTACCTAAAGCAACTTCAGGCCACACATGCCGCCACGTATCACACAAGACCCGCACTTGGTGCAACCCCCCGACTTCGAGTCGGAACAATTCCGGGCGCTTTACGCCACCTTAGCCACTGCCGAGCGCACAGTGGACGCTATCATAGCCGACTCCCAAAATGCTTGGACCCAGAACAACGACGCGCAAAGAGTCGCGTGGAACGCCCAGGTCGAGCAAGACCACGCAGAAGAAGAGGAAGCTAGGGCAGCTCAGGAGCAAGCAAAGCAAGAGGCCGCCGAAGCTGAGAAGCGTGAGAGGGAGAACAAACGGCCCAAGATAAAATCCTTCACCCCGAACAAGACGGTCGGGAAGTTGTCATCTCGTCGACCTTCCCGCTATGCGATCCACAAGATCGAACAACTCGAGTACGTTGAGCTCTACTATTTCACCAAGGAGGCCTGTCTTGAGGCCGAGAGGACGGAATACTCAGTGGCGAGGGGCACCTTCACCCTGATGGCTGACGGAGAGAACGTGCTGGCAAAACCCGCCGCTGCGTACAAGCCATCCACAAAGGTCGTCCAGGATGAGAACCTCGAATGGCGCCAAATCATCAAGGCAAAGGACTACATGCTGGAGGCCATGGTGGACGCAGGCTGGCCCGAGGAACACGTCATGGCCCTTGGTGTATTCTTTCTCGAGCTCGACAAGCACCCAATCAGCGACCTAGAGGGGGGAGAAACCGCTGTTCTACTGTACCAGGCGCGCATCCGCCGTAGGTGGATGGAAGACCTCAAGAGCACCAATGACGAGGAAGTCTTCGACATCAGTGTTGTCAATGACAAACGGCTGGATGAAATGTACAGCGAGGTGCTCAACCTCCGTCAGGCCCAAGGCATTAAACGGTCAGTCACCATTTCATTCACAAGCTGAGGGGCATGCAGCTGACAACATCTCACACCGCACTGTCATTAACCCACATCTCATCTTTGCGCCCCTGTG